AAATTACTTCCGAAGGTACGAAGACCTATATGATTTTGACTGCAAAGATTGGTCAGAAAAACAAGCGAGTTAACGTTCAAAGAATCTTTAAAATTGCTAACGGAACTTTTCAGCCATAATACTTCACTATTTCATAAAAGATGGAAATGCATGAACCTTGATAGCGAAGATTACGCAACTTTCGCATCCATTATTAATAAATATTGTGACGATTTCAGATTATCGGAACTCAGCGCTGACAACAAATTTTTTTACCAAAGACGCAGAAATGAGACGTAGAATACTTACTAAATTGGAAAATGAACAAGATCTGACACTTCAAAAACTAGCCGAAGACTGCCAGAGATGCGTCAACGTAAAAAAAGACTCTAAAGACATAGAACAAGCTGGCATAGCATACATACACAAAGTACGAAGACAAACAAATTTTCCCTCCTCACAAACAAACCGAACTGATTTTCCCACCTCAAGAACAGGTAAAACAAAATTTTCTAATTATAATCCACATAAAAAGAAACTACCACCAAGTCCATGCTATCATTGTGGGACTTGGCATTGGGTTAAAGACTGTACATATCGTGCTAAAAGTTGTCCATCATGTAAAAAATTGGTCACAAAAGCTCTCACTGTTGGTATAGAAAAGAAATCAGAATAAGAATTACGAGGACCGACCAAACAGGTGAGACTAATATAAGAAAATATGTACAAGTTGAAATGCAGAACAGAAAAGTTAGGTTACAGCTGGATTCTGGCTCAGACTTAACTATCATAAATCTACAAACATGGAGAAAACTGAACAAACCTGTCATGTTAAAAACGGATAAAATGGCGAGATCAGTTACGAGGAGAAAGATAAAATTCGAGGGTGAAATAATCACAAACGTAACATTTAACGGAATGACGAAAAAACTAAAAATGTACGTCTTAAGAAATACCGAAAATCTATTCGGGACAGACTGGATGCAAAAATTCGAATTGTGGGATCTACCTATTAGCACCTACTGCCAGAATGTAAAAAGCTTATCAACCGAGGCAAACAAATTAAAAGGAAAACTAAAAATGAGTTTCCCCGAAGTATTTTCGACAGGTCTCGGAAGATGCAAGAAAATGGCAGCTAATATCAAAATAAAGAATAACGTTCAACCTATTTTCAAGAAAAAAAGGAGTGTACCGTTTGCGTCAATCTAGACTCGAAAATACGGGCATATTGAAAAAAGTTGAGTACAGCAAATGGGCCGCACCGACGGTCTACGTTAAGAAGAAATCAGGAGAAATTCGAGTTTGTGCTGATTTTTCTCCAGGTTTGAATGCAGCAATAAAGGACTACCACTATCCGCTACCTAGTCATGAAGATGTATTCACTAAATTAAATGGCGGAAAATATTTTGAGGCCTACCTGCAAATTCCAGTCGATGAAGAAAGTTCAAAAATACTATGCATAAACACACACAAGGGATTGTACAGATATCAAAGACTACCATTTGGAATGAAAGTAGCGCCGGCTATTTTCCAGCAGACAATGGATACGATGCTGGCAAGACTAGAATACACAATAGCATATCTGGATGACATATTGATTAATAGCGAAAGCGTTGAACAACACTGGCAACATGTACAAGAAGTGTTTAAGAGAATTCAAAGCTACGGATTCAAAGTGAAAGAAAAATATGTGATTTTTTCATGAAGGAAATTAAATATCTTGGCCATATAATAGAACAAGAAGGTAGACGTCCAGACCCTGAAAGGTCTACAGCAATAAAAAAGATGCCAGTTCCTAAGAACATAACAGAACTACAAAGTTTTCTTGGATTAGTGAATTACTACCAGGAATTCATACCTCAAATGCATAAACTTCGCGCACCATTGAACGAACTGCTAAAGAAAGAAAAAGACATTAACATCGGATTTATTTTTGGTACACTATGATTATTGTAGCAAGTGATGCGAGCGCCTACGGTGTCGGAGCGTGTATATTACATAAAATGCCAGATGGGAGAATAAAACCTATCGCACATGCTTCTCGAACCCTACTACCAGCATAGAAAAACTATCCACAAATTGAGAAGGAAGCTCTAGCAATTATCTTCGCAGTAACAAGATTGCATAGATACGTCTATGGTAGACACTTTACTCTGCAGACGGATCATAAACCGTTAATAAAATTTTTGTTTCAAAAAAAGGTCTACCGGTGTACACGGCAAATAGGCTACTTAGATGGGGAACGATTCTTCTGAACTATAATTTCAGATTGGAATATTTACCAACGAAAAGAATCGGGCAAGTGGTTGGACTGTCGAGACTTATACCAACAAAGACAGAGCCATTGGAAGATACGGTAATCGCGGCCTTTAGAAATGAAGAAGACATAAGAACAGTACTATGTTGTACAGTCAGAAACCTTCCAGTGACATAAAAAATGAAGCCAAAATTGACGAATTTATTAATGAAACAAAAGCAAAAATAGCAGAAAAAAATGAGCAAATTTCGGACAGCTTTTCTCTATGCGATAATGTGCTACTTTACAACGAAAGGGTTGTAATCCCCAAATGTTTACAAAAAAGGATACTAAAGGATTTCCACAGAGGACCCTCGGGTAAAAATAGAATGAAGTCGCTAATGCGAAGCTATGTATATTGGAAGAATATGGACCAGGATATTTCTCAAACGGTGGAAATTTGCAAGGGTTGTAATTCAGCAGCTAAAGCACCGCCAATCATACATAAGCCTTGGCCTGAAACTGATCGTCCATGGTCAAGAATATACGCAGATTATGCTGGACCAATTGACGGGTTCTACTATTTAATCATAGTTGATAGCTACAGTAAATGGCCGGAGGTGTTTCGGTGCAAAAATCCTACTACAGAAACGACCATAAATTTCCTCCACGAGATATTCGCTAGGTTTGGCGTAGTGGACTGTTTAGTAACAGATAACGGAACGCAATTCACGTCAGCAGATTTCCAAGCGTTTTGCGAAATCTATCAAGTAAAACACATAAAATCACCTCCTTACCATCCAAGATCAAATGGACAAGCGGAGAGATTCATGGATACTCTCAAAAGAGCATTACGAAAAGTGTACGATGTGTCTACGGAGAAAGCATTACAGCAATTCCTACAGCTATATAGAATAACGCCAAATAATGCGACACCATCAACATTATCACCAGCAGATATGTTTGCTAGGAAAATCAGATCAGCGTTCGATAAATTACTACCAAGTAAAACAAAACAAGTAACACAGTCCTAAACACTAAAAAGAAAATTCCTCCCAGGGGAAAAAGTTTTTTTGAAGGCATATAAAAATAATACCTCTTGCTGGGAACAAGGGATAATTGAGAAAAGAATTGACAATATGATGTACATAGTTCAAGGAAAAAAATTCTCACACAGAAGACACGTAAACCAAATAAGGAAGAGACCGTTACAGGATCCTAACGGTCCACCTCAAGAAGAGGTATTGGACACGATTTTCGACACATTCGATATAAGAAGACAGCAAATAATGCCAGAACC